GGAGTCTCGCTCTGTCGCCCAGGCTGGAATGCAGTGGCGTGATGTCTGCTCGCTGCAAGCTCCACCTCCTGGGTTCACGCCATTCTCCTACCTCAGCCTCCTGAGTAGCTGGGACTACAGGCGCCTGCCGCCACCCCCATCTAATTTTTTTGTATTTTTAGTAGAGACAGGGTTTCACCATGTTAGCCAGGATGGTCTCGATCTCCTGATCTTGTGAGCTGCCCGCCTTGGCCTCCCAAAGTGCTGGGATTACAGGCGTGAGCCACCGCCCCCGGCCAATGTAGACATTTTTTAAAGGTGGTATGTAACTCAATTTTTTTTTTTTGTTATTTGGTAAACTGTCAATTATCTATCAAAATGTTCAGTCTTATACTCTCTTCTCATCTCACAGTTTACCCTATAGGGTTACTATAGGACCAACTTAGCCCTTTGTAATTAGTATTAACCGAACAGAACAAAACTGGTAATAAAAACCTGTATAGGGGGATCAAAACATTCCACAAATCCAAATAATGTGAATCATTTAGGATTATTATCCAAGTATGTTTTCTTTGCTCTATTATAACCAGTTCTTTCTGTTCTATTCCTTTCTGTCCTTAAAGCAGTAATATCATATTTTCCTTTCTGCATGCCCTCTAATGTAATAAGCAAAGATTCCCCAGACCTCAGGAGGTAATAATTACTGCTTCTGAAACCTCCAGAATTCATGATGCTGACTCACTCACTCTGTTGTTCTTGCTTTTTGCTTTGTTTTTAGCCGACTCTGTGGTAGCCCTTGTCCAGCTGTGTGGCCTGATGTTATCAAACTGCCCTACTTCAACACCATGAAACCGAAGAAGCAATATAGAAGGCGTCTACGAGAAGAATTCTCTTTGTGAGTTTGGGGAAAATGTTACATCTCGTTTCTGTGTCTGGCTGGTGTTGAGACTTGACTTTTTCCTGGTCTGAGGAATTAATGTCCCAATTTATCATGGCAGCACAGTGTAGGAAAACATTTTAGTTTTGAGCAGTATATAGTTATATATAGTTATATATAGTTATATATATAGTTATATATAGTTATATATAGCATTTTAGTTTTGAGCATAGCCCTTTTGTAATTTTCTCTTCTGAAGGCTTTAGACAATAGAAAACCATTTTATTTTGAACAATATATAAATTTTCTCATAGCCTTCTTGATCTTCCCATGAGAAAAAGAGAATGGAACTGTTGCTTCATGGTTTTTTGTTTGTTTGTTTGCTTTTTTAAACTGAGACAGGGTCTTGCTCTGTTGTCCAGGCTGGAGTGCAGTGGCATGCTTAGGGCTCACTGCAGCCTTGACCTGCTGGGCTCAAGCAATCCTCCCAACTTAGCCTTCTTTTTTTTTTTTTTTTTGAGATAGTCTCACTTTGCTGCCCAGGCTGGAGTGCAGTGGGGTGAGCTCGGCTCACTGCAACCTCTACCCTCCGAGTTCAAGTGATTCTCCTGCCTCAGCCTCCCACGTAGTTGGGATTACAGGCGCCTGCCACCACGCCCAGCTAATTTTTGTATTTTTAGTAGAGACGGGGTTTCACCATGTTGGCCAGGCTGGTCTTGAACTCCTGACTTTGTGATCCACCCACCTCCATCTTCCAAAGTGCTAAGATTATAGGCATGAGCCACCGTGCCTGGCCCCACCTTAACCTTCTGAATAGCTGGGACCACAGGAAACTGCCACCACACCTGGCATTTTTTTTTCCCCCTGTAGAGATAGGGTCTCCTAATGTTGCCCAGGCTGGTCTTGAGCTCCTGGGCTCAAGCGATCTTCCTGCTTCAGCCTCCCAAAGTGCTGGGCTTAAACTATGGGCGGCTAAGGCAGGAAGATCACTGGTTGTGCTACCACGCCAAGTGATCTGCCCGCCTCGGCCTCCCGAAGAGCTGGGATTATAGGTGCAAGCCACCACACCTGGCCAGAACTGACCATATTTTTACTTGTGTTATAGCACAGCATTTCTTGTTTGTTTGTTTGTTTGTTTTTGAGACGAGGTTTCACTCTTGTTGCCCAAGCCAGAGTGCAATGGCATGATGTCGGCTCACTGCAACCTCTGCCTCCTGG